TTGAGAAAAGAAGAGTTAGATGGGATCTGATTGAGGTGTTTAAGATTGTAAAGAGAATTGACAGTGTTGATGCGTCATATTTTTCTAAACTTAACAGTGAGAATAGTAGGACTAGGAACACAAATATAAATATTGGCAAGGTAGGAGTAATCCTCAGTTTTACTTTTCTAAGAGAGTGGTTGCATTTGGAATGGGTTGCCTTCGGATGTTGTGAAGTCAGTAAATTTAAGTGATTTTAAGGAAAACTTGATAACAATATGAATGATTAGGGCTGGATTTAAGAATTTTTCGAAAATTAAAATACTAATAGTTTTAATTTAGTTTAAAGGATGGACCAACCGAGACGGACCAGTAGGTCCCATGTTGTCCCAAAACGTTATGTTAACAGTCAGTAATATTTACACCTCTTTATAAACTTTTTGTGAACTTTTACCTCTGGTTTTCAAGTTTTGTTTGGCAAGAGAAACCAGGACGTCGATGGACGCAACTATTCCGGTTATTGACGTCTCTTCACACTGCTTTTGGACGGTCTCTGATCCAAAACTTGGCCCAACCCAGTAAACAAACCAAATAAAGATGAATGTCATCATTTTTAAAGACATTTTTTCTTCTTACTGGAAAATAAACAGCATTGTATAAAAGTTTCTGACAGGCCTAATACAAAACAATTTACGAAATATAAAAACTTAGTAACCTGGGTAATATTATCGAAACACAGAGCCTTTGTGGTAGGTAATATAAACCAACTACAAGATATGAAAGTTTTACTGAACGTAGCTCTGAGATGGAGTTGATACAATTAACATTTATTATAAACTAACTACAAAATATGAAAGTTTTACTGAATGTAGCTCTAACATGATCTTCATACAACTAACATTTAATTTTGACTTTTAATTTTATTTTAGACAACTGAGTTTTGTACATGAAAGTTATATTAGACGATAACACTGTTTATCATTAAGAACCTAGTTAAGGTTAGATTAAGTTAATGTATAAATACAAAGGAAAATTATTTAAATTCATAGAAATTACACAACCTGTTAGACCTATTTAAATTAAAACAATAACAGGATTAACATTGATCCTTGATCTTGTGTTACACGTACATAAGCTATAAGTTGTTAGTTACAGTGGTCAACTGAGTTATATGATGCAATCGTGTATCACTCGAACAGTAATAAAAGAAAAACACGAATAAATCTGTACCATTTTATTAAACCACAATTGTACTGAAGTACTTTGTTTTCAAAAGTAAATAATGTATTTTAACCTAATATTGGTTAAGTTTCATTAACCAATATTATGTTAAAATACATTATTTACTTTTGAAAACAATGTAGATTTTTCTGAAATAATATATGAATGTTTAAATACTCAGTAACCTCTAATATTCCTTCCACAGATAGTTGTTCAGTGGTAAATATGATGAAATATAACGTTCAACTTGAGTTTCGATACCCGAGGTGGACACACTAACTCTAGCCTATTGTATAGTTTTGTATTAACAAGAAAACAAACAAACCTTCCTGAAATGACGTAGAATTATTGTAATAAATAATAGTTTGGTACAATGACCAACTGATTAAACAAAGTTAACATTCAATAATCTATAACTTTAGTTACAACACAACAAGATTTATATAAAGAATTAAAAGTCTTCAATAATAGACAATATCCACCAATTGTCAAAAATATACTTACCTTTTAAAATTTTCTTTGCTATAATTGACGTTAGGAACTGATGTCTTTCAAAATAAGATGACGTTTTAATCTCAGACACTAAAATACTTTAGGAACAGTAGTCTTTGTCAAAGTTTGAAGTTCAGTCGTTTTAACTTCTAGCTCTAATCACGTGTTTTAAAGTCACGTGGTCAAACTCTACATGTATTACTGATATTATCCAGACTTGTAAATAAACTTTAAGCCAAGAAGAAATATAATCTAGTGTTTTGAGAATATTTTTATATTCAACAATGTTCTCTAAGTTTTTGCATCTTGAAATTTCTAATTTGTTTTTCTAAGGTCTCAGGTTACAATTACTGAAGTATGTTAAAACATCTTAACCACTTGAGTTCCGATATTGTTAATTGTTTCCTTTCTATAGTGCCCTTTCAATGTTTCAATACTGCACTTGTTGGACATCTAAGATATTCAGTGAATTACTTATTGTTAGTTTTATACTTGGAGTTTGTTTAAACACTCGTTAAAAAAATTGGAAATTAATCTACAACTTATATATTGTTGAAATTATAATGAAGTATTGTAATCTGAAAAAAAAACACGATAAATTCTAAAACTATATAGAGAAATGACATACATTCATTATGGGAATAGCTGTTGGGAAACAACTTTATTTTACTATAAAACATTAAATAATATATATATTTATTTAGCTATATTCATGTAAATTACGCTAACGTTTCATGCAGGGGTTCTAAACACCAGTAGGGTGTGGTAATACAATGAATTACTTACACCATATTTATCAGATTATCAGGTTGTAATGGATAATCTTTATTTGTGATTAAGTACTTTCCTATAATTGATTTTTTAAGTTTTACAAGTTGATAAACAATGTTGTCAGTTTTTAACAAAAACTAGTATAATGAATGATATATATATCATCAGTGTGTGAACATAAAAGTAGAATCTTTTCGTCATATTGAACGTTGGCTTGTCCTAGATTATAACATTTTATATACTGTCATTTGTATATGTTATTTCGTGAAAATCATAGTATTGAACTTAATATCTTTTAACATACATATTTATATTTATGTAGACTTTTATTTTTTTAACTAAGTCATATTAGTACTGGTTCTGAAATATTGTTATTTGTAATAAGAAACGTCTGATAAAATAGTTTTTAGAAGTAATAAATTGAACTGATTTCAAAATATATAAATTTGTTATATAAGATAAAAAATAGGCAGAAAACTAATAAAACTAATTAATAATAAATTGGTCTCTAAAATGATGTATCAGTGTTTTAAGAATTCAGTTGCTTTCTTTGTGGTTCTTTATATTTAGAGTTTACAAACTGTATTCTGTAGTTTACATAAGGAAACATCAACTTGCACGATGACTTTGTTACAAAGAATTGATACATGAGGAAGAAAGTCTTAGTTAAAAGTCGGTCTAAAAATGTTTCCTTTTAGTGGTACAAGTGGTAAGATTTTATTGTTCGTTAGGCATCACTCTAATATTACACGTATATTTTATAACATGTTCAAGTAAATAATATAAAGTTATTTTAACTAGTTAAAATGTAGAAATATAAAAATTAAACGTAAAGGGCATAATTTAACCATTGAAAGACCAAACTTTAATGAATCGCCTTTAATAGAACATATCGGTAATAATTATTGTTGTCATAGTATTAACTGAAATAATATCATATTAATTAAATATATCAATAACAAATATGAACTAAATTTAATAGAATCATTATAAATATTTAATATTTTAAATTTAACTTTAAAAAGTGATTCTGGTCCAGGAGTTGTAGAAATTCATTTATGTGAATCATTTATTGAAAGAGAGACAAAAGATGGCAGCACCCTGTATGTAAAATGATTGGTCAATATGTTTTTCTCAATACTGTTTCACTTCCTGATAACACTAGCATGGACGTTTTAGTGAGTCCTGGTGCCTTAAAAATGTTTAAATTATTATGTATTTTAAACGTTGTTTCAACCATGTTTTTAATAAAGAGAAAAACATTATTCTGTGATATACACTGTCTTTAAATTCATGAAGTTGATTATAAACTAAGTTTTCCAGAATAGGTTGCATGGATCCATGTTCAAACTTAACTTGTATTTAAGTGTTTGCTGTTCTGATCCTGCAAAGAATTACTAACATATTTATTATTTAAAATTATGTGCCTTAACATAAAATAAAATAATTTATAGCAAGGTGTTTACCTGGTCATTGTTTTTAAGGTAGACCAAAAATAAAATAAACCATAGAAACACGATCATGTTGAGTATAAAGCCATTAACATAAAGTGTGTTTCTCTAGCTTTGTTCATTCTGATCTTAGATTTATCATCATAAGGATATTAAACTCTAAACTAGTAAAAATACAAAATATGGAACATTGAGTCAAGTGAATAGAAAATCATCAAATACTATAATATACGAATTAAGTAATAAAAAGTATTTCTAAGATATTTAAAATAAAACATTTTGCTCAAATTAATATTTATAAATTATAAATATTAAACCTTCTATGTTCTCCAACAGTAACTTAATATAAGCACATTTAACTAGAATTAAATCATTTTCTCATCACGATTTACCAACTTTTGTTCAAAATTTGTCCATAACCAGAAAATTCCTATCAGTTAAAGTTAATTTTATAAATCAAATAGAAAACGCGGTTTCAAAAGATTTGTGTTTTACATCGGAATATTACCGTTATTTGTCGGGATCTCAAAGTTAATGGGTAAAACTATTAACACTTTCAGGAGAGAGTAATGATAACCTTTCCATGCCAACCAGTTCACACTATTAGAGTATGTAGAAATATAGAGTCCGCCTTTATAAAATATGAGATAAAGAGAAAAAGTATAATGTTTTAAAAATATTATTTTGTCAAATTATAAAGTCGTGTAAGTTTCATTATTGTGTGATATTTAATAAACGTTTTATTGACGACTTATGTTGAGACACATTGAAAAACAATTTTTATTAGTAACACGATGTATAACACCATCCACCTTTCTAAAACACGTGTAAATGAATTATTTTTCAAGTTATAGCATAAAGAAAAACTAGTGAAAGTGTAAGTTTTAATTAATGGATAATATCTTCCATTTAGGAAATATAAGTGGTCAGAAAATATGATTAATAATTTAATGATAAGCGTATTTTTAGGACGATTTAATTACAAATTATTTAATTAACTAATGAGTTAGTGTTAAGCGTCTTTTTTAAGATTAAGTAATGAAATAAAGTAAAGTTTCCTTTTAGGACAATTTAATTATAAATTAATTAATTGACTATTGAATTAGTGTAAAGCATCCCTTTTAGGATCATTTAATTATAAACGATTAATTTAACTAATAACTTGGTGATTTAAACCGATTAAATATATTCATGATGAGTCACATTTCGATGAAAAATGGTAATTTTTACCTAAGCTTTACATTAGAGGAATGTTAATTGATATTAAACTCAAGTTAACTCTTATATTAGACTTCTACAGACTGGTAAGACACCAAGGTATTCACTCGTTAAACTCTGTTATACTTTATTGAAGTCTCTAGTTTATATGGTGTTAATAACATGTAAAATAAAATTTTAATATAGTTTAAACTGTTTTATGTGTTCTACTCATTGTTGTTTATTGGTTTAATTCTAAATTACAATTTTAAATAAATTGGTATAAATATATTTACACTAAGTTTCAAAACTCTCACTTACCCTATTTGTCAATTTAATTAATTATCTGTTCTTAGCCGTTTTTGTCTCAATTTGTTCTGTGTCTTTGACGAAATAATTTAATTATATCATAATAATAGTTACAATAATTTATTTGAAGCAATATTTATAAGATAAATCGAAATTTACACGCAGATGAATACAGATCCTAAGTCCTTTAAAATAACTAACTGAAACGAGCGGCTGTTTTTGCTAGAAATTAATAATCGTAGTATTTATACCTCACAGTAAAAATTCTGGGGAGTACTGCAAGGGAATAAAATTCGGATTGTGCTGTTTTGTTATACGCCACTCATTACATGAAAATAATTCAATGTACAGAACTCAAACTTTTCATATATGTTACTGATATAAACTGTAATGTTTTCTATATATTGAAAGAGCTATTCTTTATTAGAAAAAAATAATAGTTTTAAGAACTCTAATTTTTAGTACTACACCTAAAATCTACATCAATATAGATGTACAGTCCTAGTGAAAGTCGTATTCTTGTTGTGAGTAGAGTACTTTATTTATGTTATAAAGAAATAGTTTTTGCATGTACCACAGTTATTTTTCTAATAGTTTGAATCTTGAATACCCAAAGTGTGAAATATTTTTACAGCTTTTTTGTTTGTTGTGACATTCAATAGATGACGCTACAGTTCATAAACTCATTTATTGTTTCTGTCAGATATAAGGACGGCCACGCCATTGCTCCATGATACTGATATTATAGTAAGATACTTTCATAATCTTAAGGAATTTGATTTCACAACACAACTCACTTCTCTCATTAGTGATAAGTAATTGTTTACAGACAGTTTGATTTTCACACGGCTTTAAACTAGGAACTGCTGCCAACTTTATTAGAATATAACTTTATAATGAAACTAGAAGTTAGGTGGCCATATTACTTGTGTATTGTTGACATTTTATGGACACTTATGTTCAAGTTTGTAGTTAAAATACTGCATATAACCTTCACACATGGAAATACATTTTAAGTCAAGCTACACATTCTCAGTTTAACCTAAATTGTTGTTTATCACATTGAACAATATACACATGTTTGAGGTATCAGATCCACACAGATCTAGTATCTTTAGTCTTCTAGTTAATACTTCTATTATGTTGAGAAATAATTTTCTCTTCGACTTTCTAAGGTTGGTCTCTTCCTTATCAATAATAAAAGATGATTGAGAAGGAATAGTTTGGTATAAATTAAGCTTGACTACATCTTACTGTCGTACATAACGTATTCTAACCAACCTCTGACTTCGTCTGTATAAGATACTCTACACCCTTCTTATCATGTAATGGTTTAATACTTAAATGGTCACGTATCATTAGTTGACGGTTTTATAAAGAATCTGTTTGAAAGGGTTA